CCATCATACTCATCCATCTCTCGATCCATTCATCACCAACCAATCACAATCTTCACTCTCACTCACTCATCTCACTCTCTCATCGCTCATCTTCACGTTCCTTCCATTTCATCTCTCCACTTCTTCATTCTTCATCTTTTATCTTCTATTCTTCATCTTCCATTCATCATCACTCATCATGCACTCATCCAATCATCACTTCATCCTCACATTCATCATCTTTCACCTTCACTTCATCTTCTCATCAATCACTCTTCTCTCAATCACTCTCTACCTCACTCTTCACTCCTTCTCATCTATCTCTAACACTCATCCATCCTTCTACTCCTCTTCTCTCCATCTTGCTTCATCTTTCATCATTCACTCTCACCATCATCTTCATCCAGTTCCATTCACTCCAACAGCGTTAAAACTGCTCAACCGTCAAACCACTACGATCACATGACAACATCGTTTTTCTCAAATTTTCTAATATCCTCTCTTCAGTCTTCTCCTTCCCCTCGTCTCTACTATGAGCATCTCATATGTATCTTCTCTCACTCTTTCTCTAATGTGCTCAACTCTTCTATCTCATTTATTCTGTCTACTTGTATATCTCTCATTCACTCTACCTGTCGATATTCACTTATTTTTCCACATGTAATCTCGGTCTCTAATCTCATTTCGCATACATCGATCGTACATAACTACTCTTCATTGCAAGTATCGGTATCGATCACACACTTCTCAGGTCACCGAAAACACCACTCACTCACTAAACGGTACTAAGAGGTTCTCACTAATCTATCAACACTCCACTACCACTCACATACTCTATTCAGACTGCAACACAATCTATACCGAATACATCTCTCATTCTCTATTCCTCTCACTAATCAGTCTCGCTGTTCGTCGATCTTCTAGCACCTCAAACATGCGAGGAGCTTATGCAGTGATCACGATCAGAGCGACTGAAACCGGACACAAAACAGCACTAACACTACACACAACTAGCAACAAACACACATGTCATACACCACTAACACGAGTACACACTACAACAGACTACCTGAACTAACTAGGAAACACCACCTCGTCAGGCTGCCGGCCGACTCATACAGCTTCTTTTAAGTCATCTGTTGAACTTTTGCAAAATCAATTGTACATCGAGCTTGATAATATGGATATGTCTTCAAGCGTTTACCGTGATTACGTTGTTTTATTCATACATTTTTCGCACCGTATACGATGAATAAGCGTTGGAATTAATTTATACAGCGGGTTAGATACCATTGCGCGTAAAAATCTCATCATAAAGGGGTTTAAAAGCATGGATCTGAACCTATATTTCCATGCCATACAAAAGATCTAGATAAAAAAAAAAAAACGTTTTGTAATCTTAGTGGTTATTATTATATATTTTCTCTCTCGAAACCTCAATGATTAGTATCAATATTATTTCATGAAATCTCAATGGTTATCATCAATATAACATTTTTTCCGGAGATCTTAATGGTATAATCAATATGACAATTTTCCTTAGATCTCAGTGGTTGTTATCAATAAAACATTTTCATGGTTATTATGTAAGGAAATATACATATTTCATATTTTTCTAGTTGAAATGGCGCCAAATTTAAAGATGATGATGATAATTTTCTTCATGAAATGGCGCAAATTTAAAGATGACGATGGCCAGACGAGAAATAATCTTCCCCGTATTTTTGCCCCAACGTATTCTTTTTCTAAGTTCAACAAGTAATTTAATCTTAAAAATAGTTTTGTTAACTTCCGTCCGTTACGCAATGAATTTGAAGTTCATGGAGAGCGCAGGAAGTGAGACACTCGTTGAATTCCTCTCTCGTGCAACCGTCTGCAACATTTTCTTTCTCATGCATTCATTCACGCTCTCTCTGTCTTTCTCCCCTCTTTCTCTTTTGCTTTCTCTCTCAATCTTTGATTCGTTTATTCTTTCTCTTTCCATTTTCTTTCTCTCTCTCTTTTGCTGGCTTCGTTTTACTTTTTTCTATCTTATTTATCCATTCATTCTCTCTGTCTTTGTCTCTTTCATATTTTTTCCATTGTTTTACTTATTATCTCTTTCGCCTTTTCTTTATTTCTGATTTATTTATTTATTCACCTTTCTATCCTCTTCTTTTCTTCGTTTCTCGAACTCGCCTAGTCAAATTCCACTCTAAATATGCTCTGTTGCATCTTCGGCTTTTCAGACACACCTTTTCCCTCTGTAAAAAACGAAAAAAAATGTCCTGGAAAACCTAGAATATTAGTCAATTCCATGAGTACTAGCCATTCGCCTGGTATGACGTCATCAAAGTTTCCCGCCCTTTTCTGGAATTTGAATTCGTTTCAGCGGCGACGAGCACTTCCATCAAAAGTTCTTGTCATATCAAATCAGTTGATTAATGGCAGCCATTCAAGGGATAAAAAAGAATGGAATTTTTGCTAAATAAAAACGGATTGATAATCGCCTCTCCAATCCTTTCGACCAAATTTCGGAAGACTTCTAAATGAAAAATAAAAATCGGTACACGATGAATTCTGTAATGAACTAACGGAAAGATCCATCTGTAACCCCCATCGCTAGTTATCTATGCAGAACCAAAAAAAAAAAAAAAAAAAAAATTATATATAATTCCCATTCCAACATCCGTGTCAACCGCCCCAGACGCCATCTTTGTTGTTGTCCATCCGATGAATCTAGATCACAAAAAAGATGGAAGAAATGAATCCCTTTTACCGAAATTATCATACCGAAGACCAACACATGAATACTCGATGACTATAATAGGATTTCCACACGCACCTAACCCCCCTTGTCATAATTCTTCCATTATTACTGTGATGAAGTTCCCACGAGGCAGCCTTGGTCCAGACTTGGCGCGAAAAATGTTTATCGGCCATATTTTTATCTTTTTATCTTTATTTCCTATTTGTTTTCATTTGTCGATTTATTTGTTAGTTTGTTTATCTTTTTTTTTGTGCACGTGTTCGCTAGTGGATTGATTAATCGATCTAATTAGATGATTCGGTGATGGCAAATTAAAAGAAAATTATAATACAGAAAATAATTATACTCTTGATAATGAAAATAATGATGATGATAATGAAAATGGTGATAACGAAATTAATTGCAATGATGATATAACATGAAATTGATAGCGATTATGATAATGGCAATGGTATTACATTACTACTACTTATGATAAAAATAATAATGATGATATTAATGATAATAATATAAAAGATGGTGGTAATAGTAGTAATAAAGGAGATGATAGTAATGCTAATGATAATAACAACACTTACATTAAAGAAAACAATAATGATAACGATGATGATAATAATAATATAATGATGTAATAAT